CAGTTAAGATTTTATCCGCTAGATGATATGATTTCTTGTATGTACTCATCATACATGCAGTTTAAATATATTAACTTTTTTAGATTATAAGCAATAAAATGCGACTGTGATCTAAGCAACGCTGAGATCACAGCTGTATTTTTCAATAAAATGGTGAAAGTTAAAATTTAAAATGACGGATAGTGACGACCAGATGGTGATTAGAATTTCCAAATGGCAAAAAAATTGCGGAAAGTAGAATTTAAAATGGCGGTAATAAGATTCAATATGGCAGATGGCGGCTTCAGAATAGCAGATTTAAAATTTAAAATAGCGGAAATTAGATGTAAAATAACGGCATTGAAATCGCAGAATTTATCACCAGTGCCACAGATGGTAAGAAAGCTCAAGCATACCTACAGTCGATAAAAGGCAGATGAACGGAACGAGCATACTTGGTAATATACCCTGATAGCCACACTTACTATAAAAATACTTGTAGTATAGCAAGTTTAGTCAAAGTTAACGTTAAGTTCACTCCAAAACTTGTACAGTAAAAGTTATATACAATTTGTGTTGAAGTTGTATAGTAACTTGACGTTAATCTACTGCCGCAATTTCAATCCAAGTTTTAACAAACTTTTAATATGATACTAATGTTAGCCGACGTTTAAAAATTTTTCTATTTTTTTTAACAATCAAATTGCAAGTAAAAAAATAATTTAAAAAAATTGCATTCATAATTTTTCAAATTTCCTACATGTGAAATTTTTTCTTTTTATTTTATAGTAACAATTTTTTTAATAAAAATAATTATAAAAATTTTCAGATGTCGGCTAATTTAATTTTCATACTTTTTATCTATAAAAAAGTTATTGTTAAGTTAGAATGATATTTAAAAAAAAAATTACTATAAAATTCATAGAAAAATTAATGTTACTTTAAGTTATATTTATTCGGACCTTCAAGTTGATTAGCAAACCATGATTTAAAAAAGTTTTTTGCAGGTTAATTGTCAATCACTTAAGTGATTCCTTATTTTTCGTAAGAAGTCTTATAAAAAATTAATAAAAAATAATAGGACGATAAAAAAAAAATTTTAATGCTTTGTAAATAAATTTATCAAAGATTTCAGAATATTTCTATATTCAAGAAAATTAAACATCACATAATTTCAGATATTTATTTTTATTAATAAATTATTGAAACACTTTTATACATTTTTGAAGCAAAAAATAAAAATTAATTTAGCTGACATTTGATAATTTTAAGAATTTTTTTTAACAAGTAAATTATGGTAAAAAATAATTAGAAAAAAAAATTGACATGTACAAATTTATAATAATAAAAAATGTAATTTTTTATAAATAATTTTTTGGAATTAATTTATTTGTTAAAAAAAAATTACAAAATAGTCAAGTGATTGCTAACTTCAATGTCATAGCTAAAAACAAAAAACTATTAAATTAATTCAATTCACTCACTTTATATTCATAATTGCAAATAAAATTTTACATTTTTTACATTATAAAAATATTGTGTCAGATATAAGTAACTGAAAACGCTTTGATGGTATGAGTCGTAGTGAGCTTGGCTAGGAACCGGGCGATTCGGGTTCGAGTCCCCGGTTTAACAATAAAATGTTAATTTTTTTGTCACGGCAGTAGTTAAAAATTTTTACTGTGCTTCGTTTTTTTTTACCGATAAATTACCTACCGATGTAAAAAAGAGACAAATTCTGATAAACTGCCATATCAATGAGTGTTTTCATTCATTTTGTCCAACTTCACTAAAACTTCACATTAAGACTTTTACTAAAACATTTTGATAAAAGTTGAAGTCAAATTTCGGCCCTAGATTGTATAAAAGTTGGACTGCAACTTAACGTTAACTTTTACAATTGGATGGGTATCAGGGTATATTACTCGTTTATTAATACAGATTTCTACAATTTAGCGCGGGCACGAACCAAAAACTGTTTTACTACGAGGGCTAACCTCCTGTACCTTCACGTATTATACCAGTATTGAACAATAAAAAAAATATTTTTGCATCAAAGCCAGACATTTCTGCAATAAATTGATGTATAGAAATGGCACAAAAATGAAGTTGAAGCTCAAGAAATAGGCTATCAGGTCTACGGGATGGTTTAGCTGAAAAAAATTTTCGTAAGCGCCTAGATGATAATAACAATTTGGATGGCAGTTAAGCCTGCAGGCCATTCTTGTAACCCCGCTAAATTGAGTTGTTATAAGCTAAAGGCATTCAAAAATATTACAGTGTTTTTTTAAGTTTTTTGAGATTTTTGATCTCGAGAGTTCGAAAATCTGAAAAAAATCCGAAAATTACTGGTAAAAGCATCATTTCAATTTTGAAAAAGCTGTAATTACCTTGATTCAATAATTATTCTCTTGAATCAAGTTATTTCTTTTTTCGTGTGACATCAATTTTTAGTATCACGAGCTTATTTGTAATTGATATCAAATCTGTACTCCTTCATTATTGAAACCGATATTTTCAGTGATGTCAATGGATCTTAACGGTAACTTTCACCTAAAAAACGGTAGCCTCTACCGATTTTTTCGGTGGAGTTTATCGAAAAATAATTGGTTGAGTCAACCGATTGCCAATTGGTAGACGTTAGGGATTTCTTTTCCCGTATAAAGTGATAAGTATACAGAAATGGTAAAATTATTTAAAAGTTACGCCATGTCAATAAAAGAAAATAGTTAAGTTTCTATAAAATAAAAAAAAAGTTAATTAATTAAAAGAATTAATTCAACACAAATTGTAAAATAACCTAAATCTAATGAAAACCTCTCAATGAATGCCGCCAACTACATCTTAATCAGTTAATTTTTTTAAAAGTTACAAAATATAAACTGACTTCCATCCACACACACGCATGCGTGCACACACACACATGGGAACTATTAGTTGCCAAAATAGCATCATAGCATCTTACAACATCGACATCTGTTGAAAAAGTTTATTTTTGCACTGAATATAATTATTTCGTTAGAAAAATTTACAATTTTCTATAAAGGAATATGAAAAAAATTTTAAGCTCAATATATGCAATGGTTGCTTCGATGTTTTCATATTCTATGAACTAAAGCATTCATTGTTGAATATTCGTTGAGCGGGAAGTTGAGTTGCTAGCTAGTAGAACTAAACTTTTTTTATATTTTTCAATTCACACACAATTGAATAATTAATTTATTACTAATTATATTCACTGAATAACTGTTCAACGATTAGCGTATCTTTTTGTAGCTGAAGATTACCTAAAAAGTTAGTTTGATCGCATTGTCATATATAGCGACTTTATTGATTAGCGAAAGAACAAGTAGAGATGAGCTTGTGAAAAAGGGTGCGCATGCAGCGCCATATTATTTGGCGCAGTAACAGGTGTTGCTAGTCTAATGGCTTCGGTATTGTAAAATCGATGCACCACACATCAATGAGATGACACAGGTTTCATTATTCCTTTCGTCATTATTGGTCGAACAGCCCGGTGGTCGCTTTCTGTTAGCCTAATCCAATATTCTTTTTGCTGGTTCAATGTTGTAGAAACCCTTTCGATAGCACTGTCTCTGACAAATACGCACGCGCTTTAACCACCAGATTGTAAGGGTGTCTTAAAGCGGCAGTTGCACCTCAGCCACACCCGGATGAGCCATGTAGTCGGTCTGCTTTCCGCACTACAGCGGACAATTGTTGCTTCTGCGCCTACAGGTGGTACACTTTCTTAAACTTTTTATTGCTCATCTAGATAAAATGAAGTGACGCATTAGTGGATTTTAATAATAATCCACAAATTTAGTATGTAAGTGGATGAGTATTAAAAACAGTGATTAAAGCACGAGTCAGTCTGTCAGCTCTGTGAAGCTTTGACGAGGGTGAGTGGTTGAAGTGGTAGTGGTAATGGGGGTGGTTGTAATAGTATATACGTCGTGTACAAGTCTCAACAATATCAATTTGATAGATTTTACAATAGTACCAGCTCTATGATAATAATGGACTAAAAACTTAAATGGTGGTTTAAATATTCATGTTTATTATTTCTCAATCTATTAATCAAAATCTAACGCTGTAAAGAATAAGCAGAAAAATAAAAGCACTCGACAAAATGCAATGCTCAAGTATCGATTATATCTAAAATAGCGAACGAGCGCGGTAGCTTCAGTCGACCTGTTGTCCCACTTGTTGCTCATCCTGTGGCATTTGCCTTAATGAAGCCTCTTCTGAAGGCAAATCGAAAAAGATTAATTATTAATCATGAGAGAAACATAAATAATATAGACACCATGCAAGACACGGGTATATTGTTTGATTATTATCGGATCGACGACGCTAATAATTTTAATAACTTGAGAATAAAAATGTATAAACTAAACTTATACTTTTATATCTACAAAATAAAATAGCTTTATAAAGCTAATGAATTATACTATCGTAATAATGAATTAATAATAAACAATATTAAATTATAGTAAGTAAAAATTAATTTCCACCCACATAAATACAACGAAAGCAATATTAAACAAGGTAAATTTAAATGTAGTAAATATAATTCAATAAAGAGATGCATTTATTACCGTACAATTAAATAAAACTAGAAAAATAATCAATTTAATAAACTTTATTTACAATATTAATTGAGAGTGATTCTCTTTAGTCGAAAAAGTCCACTACTTAATATTTATCTAACTATTTAGCTCATTTTGTGATGAATTGTATGTTAATACTAAAAGTAAATAAATGTCTTTAGAAAAATTATGCAACGACAAATTATAGAATTTAAATTAACAATTGCATCAAATACATCAAGTTTTTAATAATCAAAAGAAATAAGTCTACTAATAAGGATTAACACCTTTTTTATAAATGAAAAGTTGTACTATTAACATCGTAAAACATCGCAAAATTTAAGATAAAAGGATAATTTGACACTTAGATTTGTTTAATTACTCTGTTCACGTTTCTCTTTTTTTCTGAGTGAATTAAAACTGGCCATCATGCCGCGATGTTACATGGTTAAAAAAGCATTATGCAACAAATATATGAGTGTTACGAGGGGGTTCGAAAATTGGAGTAAAACTAAGGATTCTTCTTCACTTCAAGCAACTGTAATTACAGATTCTTCTAAGGTTTCTATCGCATCTATCAATTCCCTAGGTATGTATCAACAACTTATTATACTAAAAACATTCAGAATTTTTGTGTATCTATTGATTTTTATAGATCGGAAGGAGTTTCCTCTGAGAGATGGAGTGATAGAGAAGAATATATGCTCTGTATCAACTTCTACTTTAAGTTCATACTCATCTTTACAATCAGAAAGAAATTCACCAATTCTTGACCGTGAGCTAGTGAAACATACAGAACCGAAAGTAATATCTACAGTACCATCTACGATAGTGAATGGAGACAGTCGAAGTCGAAGCCCCGCAATTCTGGCTTCAAAAATCCAGGATGCTGAGGAAACTCCCGTTTTTCGAGACAGGTCAGCAGCAGAAACGGAAGCAGCACATGATCTTTTAGAGTTATCAAGGTCTCTACCTCCTTTACCGCCACCAAGTATTGCAGTTGGTCCTCATAATGTTGTAGAATCTCCTGTTACTGAAAATGTTCAAGAAATAAGTATCTATCAACCTATAGAGCCTCCTATTTATCAAGTCAATACAATAGATTTAACTGGAAATACTGCAACGGTGTATCAACAGCAACCAACAGGGATAATATATGAACCAACTATCGTGCAACAAGCCTCTGGTGGTGTCTTTATACCTCTGTCCCCAGTTCAAGAAATTCTCTTTACTTATACTACTCCGACGATACCTTCTATTCTTGCTACTCAAGTATCTACGTTAGAAGCTCCTCCCTTAACACCACCGATATCTGAATGCAGCAGTGACATTGAAAATAATAATCCAAACTTACAACCTAATCAAAGGGACAAAGAAGTACAAACTGTTATTGAACAGACAGAAGTTAAAACTGCTTCCTATACTTATGATACACTTCTCGTTGCGGATGGACGATCAAAAAATAAGAAGCAAATAAGTAATATTATTAATCAAAACAATGCAATCACAGAAATTACTGTTGAACCGCTGGAAGTACCAAGAGCTGGTCGATACATTTGTTGCGAATGTGGTACGTTCTTTAAATAGTGATTAAATTTATGGGGTATTCAACGCCAAATGAAACCCGTTTGAATCTGTTTGTGTTAGCTCTCTAATATTGGTTTTTCTTACAATCCATTTTTTTTATTTTTTCAATTTTACTTAATATTTAATCAAATCCGAAGACACGATAGTGTCTCGCGCCAAGTACACGTCCAACATATGGCGTGAGACAACGTGTCTTTATTCTCTAATCATATGTCAACATAACCTCTTTACATATTTAGCTCTATATTTTTTATTATTACTAAGACACTAACACTTTACACCATTGTTAATAAGTTTCTTTTTACCAATTATACATATATTACAAAAAAATGTTGGGTCTTAACAATTATTTAACTAATCGCGAGTTTGAAAATTTTTACTTGCGCCTGTTTTCGATTCTACGAGAGATTTTACAAATTTAGAGCGAATTTTATTATTTCGAAGTTGGCACTACTTAACTCTGTTATTCTACCATCTAAATAGCTAGTATACTAAATACTGAACTTAGCGCCCATAAGTAGTTGGTCTTTAGTTTAGAATTCCAATATACGACAGTAGGTGGAGCCACAAAACCATTACCACTGTATTTTAGAAGCACATTGGTCAGTCACGCAAATCATTTACGCGTTTTTTTAATCTACAAAATTTTTTGTACTTGGATTTTTTTTTTCGATTTAATAATTTTTTGTAAAAATTGAATTATCAAGGTTTGTAACAATAGTTGAACGTGTACTTGGCGCGACGGTTTACAATGAAACTGTTTTTTGTGGGATATTAAGTGTACAGGATCACACAAATTCTACCTGTTTTCTTGTGTTCTTCTAATTTTTTTTTTAATTAAGAAAAATAAACATACCTTGTATGGACTTTTATACTTAAGAATTAATGATGACTTATTAACAAAGTAAGACCTATGTAAATTTTAAATAAGAGTATTTTTTTATAATTTAAGTTATTTAACATCATACAGTTCTAGGAATTTTGAAATATTTACAATGAATAATTTTTTTTTTCATTTTATTTAACTCCACTTAAAAAAGAAGAAAATAAAAAACGAATGTTATTTTTTGTTCCATTTTTGACGAAACAAAGAGTTTTTGATATCAAAAAGAGTCGGGTTCAAAGTGGTCAATTTGGCATAAAATGTTCTATAGATTTTAATTTTTCTAATAATAAACAATGTAAATTTTTCCAATTTTTATAGGCAAACAATATGCTACATCATCAAATCTTTCTCGACATAAGCAAACTCATAGAAGTATTGATTCTCAATCTGCAAAAAAATGTATTCATTGTGGCAAGGCTTATGTCAGTATGCCTGCTTTAGCGATGCACGTACTAACTCACAAACTCACTCACAGCTGTGGTGTGTGTGGAAAAATGTTTTCAAGACCCTGGTTGCTTCAAGGCCACCTAAGAAGTCATACTGGTGAAAAACCGTATGGTTGTGCTCATTGTGGCAAAGCTTTTGCCGACAGATCGAATCTTCGTGCTCATATGCAAACTCATTCCGTTGATAAAAATTACGAATGTCCCAAATGCCACAAGTCGTTTGCACTGAAGTCATATCTTAATAAGCATCTCGAGTCTGCTTGTCAAAGAGATAATGATGATGACAGCAGTAATGATATTGATTCACCAAATCCTTCATTAAGTTCTGCCGAACGAGAGGTGAAATATTGAATTGAATTTGCACCTAAAATTTTTTTTTAGAATTTTTAGATATCTATACACTTTTTACTGACTGTAAACGATTATAATTCAAGCATGTCAAATTTTTGTATATTAGGCATTTATTTAGAATTAATTTAAGTATAAGTATAAAGTATTTGTTTAATCTAAATAAAATGTAGTTATTTCAATAGCAATAGTTTTTAGCTTTAATATAAACATAATTCAACGGTAGATGATTTTTATGAAATTTTTTTTTTGTTTAAATATAGTCTTAATCTATTATAAATAACAAGTACATTATTTTTTTTAATTACTTATTTTACTCCCAAAGAAAAAATGCTTAAATATAATTTTGTTTTACAACGGCCCTAGTCATAATAATTCAAACCGACCCATATTTGTTTAGTTTGAGATTTATTCAAAGAAATAATTTTTGAAGCAAAAACAAAGTTTTGACCGGCCATTGTACTTGTAAAATTAGACTAATTATTTATTACAGTGAATCAAATATATACACACGACCATACTCCCACTCTCGAATCTATCCCTTCCCTTTTAATAATCGATAAACTAACCAAAAAGTAGGGGTAGTTTGATATTAGGGTGGAGGGGAGGGGGGATAGAAAGTAGTAACAATATTTTTTTTATTAATTAAACGTTACCTAAAAATGTTTAAAATAAGACCCTTGAACAGACTAACATTGAAAAAGTGTATATTGAAAATAATTAAACTCAAATTTCGGGGAAAACCCGTAAAAAATTTAACGTACTCGACTGTAGTGAGACAAATTCAAAATTACCGTTCTCGTAATCCTTTCGAAAGTGAAAAGTGTAAATTATGTGTACAAGGTGTAAATGAGATTCATGTGGGGAAATGGAGATATTCAATCTACATGGATGAAAATGATTTACCAAACAAAATCCTTATTAAAATTCCAAAAGTGTGTATTCCAAATAATGAATTTGAAGATTTATGTGACAAAAGTTCTTGGGAGATCAAAATACAACCACCTTCTCGTAAAAGTATAGCATCAGCAGTAATTATAAATAATACTCATATTTTATCTAAAGACATCGATTCAATAATAAAAATATTAACATTTGATAACTCAACTAAAGTTCTTACTTATCCAAGATCATACAGACTTGAGGATGATGATGATGATGATGATGAGTACAATTTACTCCCTATTATTCTGAGTAATGTTTACGCTTTTGATAGTCATATTATTCCATACTTTCCTGTTAGTTTATACTATAAAGATAAATGTATGTTATTACAAAACTAAAATCATTGGTGTGTTGGGGATATAGAGTATAAAAGTGGTTAGAAGTTTGATATAGTTTCATTCACTGATAAACTTTTTTTTTGGAGACGTACGATTATATTACATAGTGATAAACTATAAACTCTCAAATAAAATCTTTTGAAATGTGCGGTGATATAGAATGTAAGGAAGAAATTAACAGAGATCATTGGGGTAGTTACGAATTAAATCCAGAAGATTATCCTGAAATTTTTGAAAGGTTTTCTACCTATACATGTTCAAAGTTAAAATATGGCTTCAATAGAATTTTTATTCGAACATCGAAAGTAATAGAAGGTGCTGAAGAAATTACGTGTACTTGATGTTATTTGGATCTATCATCAGAAGAGAGAAAGAAGTATCGTATGCAGAGACACTACCACAAGATAGATAGTGCAACACCAGACAGTTCATGCTTAATATGTGAAAGAGTTATGTTAAATACTCTACCTGCAAGATTGTGTCAAAAATGTATTTTCACGTTTCTTGTTTTCTTGCAAATTAATTCGGGTATAATTTAACAAGAATTTTGTGATGTTTAATTAAAAAGATCACAAATATTTCGATTTTATATTGATTTCTTTTATTGAGTACTGACTATACCTTTTACATTAAATTTATCGGTACGTAAGTCGGTAAAGGTCAGGTATAAGAGGTATATTTAGAATCAAGTTATGGAATACACCATAACGAGTTCGATGATTGATGAATGCTAATGAGTGAAATGTAAGTAAAAAATATTTTTTCTTCTTCTATCAACGAAAATTTTAATAAAAAAAAAATTTTTTTTATTACAGATACTAAAGGAGCAAACGTACAAGGAAAATTTATAAGAAAAAAAAATTAAAAATATATAATCAAAAATGTTAATGATAATATCTAAATCGATGTATATAATGAATATAAAAGAATTTAATAAATAAATATACTAATAAAATGAATATTTTTATTGTTAATTTATTAATAATTTATTTTACAAGTATTATTTTCTAATAATTTTAAGATTTAATTTTACAATTTTATCATCAAGAACATAAATACGTTTTCTTTTCTTGAAAGGTAGGTCCCTCTGCCTCTGCACCTGTTGTCGGTTGACATGGAGATCTGAAATCGTACACAAGAATTAAATAGTTGTCTACAATTTAATTGTAAAAATAGCTTTTTTCATAAGAAATTTACCTTCTTCGATGATTCTGTTAATTTCCGCAATTTCTTGATTTTCAACTCGGAAGTTAGATCTATCTCCGAATTATCCAATACAATCTTCTCCAGATGAAGTTGTGAAGACATCTCCATGATATCATTAACCCAATGATTGTGCGCACTGAGAAGTTGTTTCTCTTTATTATCATTCATCCAATGATTGTACGCATTGAGAAGCTCTTGCTCTTCGATATCGTCCCAAAGATCCTCAGACATTTTTCACAAAAAACTGATTAACTTTTACACAAAACTGGGATTCACAATATCACTATAATTCACTTTCCAAGACCTCTAAACACTTGAAAAGCATACGGCAGAATGACTGATCAAATTTTTTGGATGTTTTCTCTACTATCCCGCAACGCAAAGATGGTGGACATTACTTAAATCTAACGAATTTTCAACATCTGTCGTCTTCTGGAAAATCTATCCCATTAATCGATCCCCCTAAAACATCTGCTGTCACCTGGAAAATCTAACCCACCTCATTGACAGATCTCCCTAATTAAAACATCTGCCATCACCTGGAAAACCTAACCCATTAATTAAAACATCTGCTGTCACCCTCATTAACAGATCCCCCTAATTAAAACATCTACCGTCACCCCTCATTATCCCCCTAATTAACCCTTATCTACTCCAGACATCTTCACCATATGGTAGACCCATATTTGGAAAAAGGACCCATCTCACTACACGAGAGAATTCCCTTGAACCACTGGAGGGGATGTGGAAACCCCTGTCCAAATGGAGGGGAAGGGAAATCACTGGTGCCAGGGTGGAGGAGTGGGGGCTAGACATGTCTCCCGGAACGTGTACCTATCTACTCTCATCCTAAAAAGATAATACAATTGAACCTGAACGAATGGAAAAAACTGTGCTCCACAACTGAATCATTTGCTAACTATTTCTACGAAGAAGAAAACAATAATTTCTATCGCATATTCTGCCCAGTACAGTGTGAAGACCCACGTATAGAGTTTTCCACGTTTAAACAAGAACGGTGTATTATATTATCTCATCAAGATACACGTATTTTTCTACTCGGACAAACTGCAACGAATCTTAAATCAGTTCACCAAAGTGTTATTATTGGGTTGACCACATTGAACAGCTACCTATCGCCGAATACATTAATTCAGTCGAAGAAAATATATCAAGATATATTCTAACAAATCTGCTGCCCAACAGCAAAAAAAACACTAAACACAAATACAATATTAAAATATTTTGAAAAATATTTCCTGGAATTATTCAAATATAACGAGAGGGCGCCTTCAATTCACAATAATCTTGGAGATATCGGGTTTTCATTTTTCTGGGACCTGCTACACCACCATGAAGAATTGGTTCAAAGAATAGTACACAAAGTCGACAACCAGTTGTCTCAACGCTACAGCCTGTATTATAACGCTGACGAAGGATAAGACGCCTGCTATTAATATGTACACTATATTTTTACTATTATTATCATTATTACTATTGTCTTTATTATCCGTAGTGATATTATTACTAAGATTATTAAAATTTCTCGATGAAAATGTCTGTTTTTATAAGGTTGTAACTGTGGGCGAATTTTATGAATAAAAAAAAATATATACTTGTTATTTATTATTTAATTATATATTTTTTTTTTTATTAGGTCTTTCGCGCTTCAGCCTATTGGCCTGGAAGCGGGGAACTACGTCCCATCCTATTTTTTCTATTCATCCCCACTTCAGTGGTCCTCTCGTCTCCTATTTAATTATATATTTTATATCAGATATAAATTTATCGTTTAAATCTAAATCTATAAAATCATTAAAACCTAAATTATAATAATAACTATCTAAATTATAATTTTGCTGTTCTTACAATATTTTTCACTTCACTATAATGCGCTTCACAGTATTGATATTTTTTATGGCAAAAATTTTTACACGGCGAGTTATAAACATATGCTCGACATGGATGTATAGGAAATACAATTTTACTATATAAATATGTAATCATCGTATTCCATTTATACATATACATGAAAAAAGTATTAATCCACATTTTTAATCGAACTTAATTCAGAAAACTATAAGATTCTTGCTTTGACCACGTAATATGCTACTACGGATACACTTTTCTAGTATAACTTCTAGAGATACATCGAGGTTTTAATATACGAACCTTAAACACTCCCTCTAAAAGCATTATCCTCACCCAATTAATCATTACCCCTGTCAAAACACCTGATTTCCTTACACTTTTTCTAGACCCCCTGCCGGTTTTTCTTTATACATCATAATTTTTTTAAAACATCCTCAAAAGTCATTTTTTAACCCATCAATCATGTCACCTGTCAATCAAAACACCTGTTTCCCTCACAGACCCCCCGGGGAGCTGGCGCCAACCTAACGAAAGGGGAAGGGGGGAATGTCTCGGTCTGAGCGCCCCATACCCGGGAAAAACAGATTAGATCTGACTGGATATAATTATATCTGGTCAGATCTAATTATATCTGATCAGATCTATTTATATCTGGTTAGATATGGGATTTGAGATATAATCAGATCTAGTTATATCTGAGCAGATCTAAACAGATATAACTATATCTGGATTGCAAAACACATTAGTCATGAAAAGGTCTTGTCATATCTGGCCAGATCTAAACAGATATAACCATATCTGGATTGCAAAACACATTAGTCATGAAAAGGTCTTGTCATATCTGGCCAGATCTAAACAGATATAACTATACCTGGATTGCAAAATACATTAGACATGAAAAGGTCTTA